ACCGAACGGCATTTCTATTGGGTTAAGGTCATAACTGTATGGCGGTAGTTTGACCAGTGTAATGTTTTTGACAGATAAAATTCTGATAAAAATTAAAAAAAAAACAGATAAAATTCTGATCCCGCGAGGCAGGGGATCACTGACGTCATACCACAGGTAACCCGCATTTTGAGCGCGCACCGATAACAGTACTACCGTAAATCAAGAAAAGCGTGCGCATTCTTCGTTCTTTTCCTTCTCTTAAACAATAGTTGAGCGGCCTATGGTTTGCATTGCTTTTTCAAATTAATGAGCTCAACAAATCCAGGTGAGAAAACTCATTAAAATAGTGCCAGTTAAACAATGCATATCAAGTTGTATTTCACGGATATATGGATTGCCCTCTACGATGTGTAATTTACATGTGTTAGGATTTATTCTTGCCTTACGAGTTGCGGAATGTCGAAAGGACTAGCGGTAGTTGGGTTCAAAAATGCAAAGAAGGTGCGAGGAGGCATATTTAAGCTATAAAGAAATACATGCCGAACACTCAGTATTCTTTCAATAGGGCAATATGGATCTGAAAACAACTCGACCGAGAACTTGCGTGAAATGCAAGCTACACGGAAAACTTAGTGTTTTGAGAGGTCACAGGAACAACTGTCCTTTTTTACATTGTGGCTGCTCGCTGTGTACTGCCAATGAAAGAGCCAAAGGAACATGCACTATTACAAGCAACGTGAAAGATGTGGATACATCACATGTACAACCTGCATTTCCTGAGCTCATTTTGTCAACGATGGATTTGACCGACAGTACATCCCGGTCACAGCGTAAGAGTATAGACCAGAAAAGAGAAGGTACTTTTACTATAACTTTTGTGGCAATTCCAACCATTGGTATGCCTATTTCAGTGCATTTTGTGATAAMGATATTGCGCTTTGAGTAGAGCTTTACTTTATATTTTAGAGAGAAAACAGAAGCAACTAGAGAAAAATAAAGAGTTTTATGGAAAAMTTAACAACTACTCGGCTGARATTTCATCAAAATCACCAGAATTATCACCGCTAACAGTTCTCCGAACTGCTAATCAGATGCATCAAGGGWCACCGACGACCCCCGGATCATCAAAAGAGCCTGTCTTAATGGCACCRCATTTCAGCAAGAAGARTTTAGTGCAGKATGAGTTTGAAGCAAAGTTGCGTAAACGAAAGGAAGTTCTACCCAACATTCCTCAAACAAGGCTGGGAACCTTAATAACAGAAGAAAATCTCGAACCATTGTAAGCAGAGTCATTATGTGTGAACAAGGAGAAGAAAGAGCCAATAGGGAGAGACAAGATACTATACTAGAGATGGAAAAGAGCAAAGAGAATGGAGTTTTAAAAGTCACCATGGACACAGATGTCCTAAAACGCATTTTGCAGAACGTAAAAGATAGTGAAACAGTCRTGACTGATACTGGGATGCAAGGCAAAGTACTGTCACATTTCACAAGCCAGAAAGTACTGCCGAGTACTGTTTCAGTAAGCTATGATGCAAGACCAGATCCACGTTCTCTGTCTCAAGTTATATCTGTGGCGATCGTACGCAGGTATATTGTAACTTGTACGTTAGTTCCCGCCAATTTTGAGTATGAAGTGGAAGGGTCAAAAGAAAACGATGAATCATTTCATGGATCTACCTATAAACTTTTATCTTAACAAATTCAGTATACAAACGACTGACCAAAACAAAGCCTGACTGGTGCTCTTTTAAGACTTTTGATTAGGTGTCAAAACAAGTCTCAACCTTCAAAATTTTACCGGTAAGCTGCCCTGATGWTATTTGAAGACGACTACCTTCGTACTTTACAAAGATTCATTCTCTTCAGTTTATTTCATGTTCTAGTTTCCTTCACCGACATGTTCAATAGTCAAAGTTTTCTGTAACAATAATTACATTCATCAATACTAAGGACGTTGGACACTAGCTGACTTAGTATCGTAAAAACGGTTAAAACAATATACGAACATTGATACATGTATATGAAACTTACCTTACACAAGGAAGACAGCATTGTTACAGTAGTAAAATCAGAAGAAATCCAATAAAGAAACGTTTTACTTGAACACTTTAGTTTAAAATTTAACCACGCGAAAGCAACTGAACCAAGCAGATCGTTCGGTGAAAGTGATGTGGTTTCGGTTTACAATATAGGGGGGGAATATACTGGTACATAACTTGTAATATTAAACCAATGTGCCTCAGCAACACCTCACAAATAGCCAATCAGAACATTCCAGGCAGTAATTTGCCCTTTTGACCCCAAAACGTTTGATACTGCCAGGTCAATGAGCATGAACATGGGAACAAAATGCGAATTAAAGCTGCAGCTACCGCTGTAACTTAAAAGATACCTACCTACCTTCCCTTCCCCAAAGTTTTTTTAGTTGAAAATAAGAATGTTTTTGTTTTGATTTGATATAGACCGATTTATCGTTGCCTTGACCTACTTGGTGCAGTATTTCAATCAAGTGATGTATCACGTATTACCAATTGGATTGCAAGATCATTACCCTTGAAATATTATCGCTCGCGCCTTATGCACGACTAGCGCAATTTTCAATTTTTAACAGTTTCTGGTCGTTTGAGTGTTCGACTGTTTGACTGGTGTTTTTGATGAAGGACCTGACCAATTCTAGTAGTGAAGACATATCATCAAGTGATGAGCAAGTTCAAGAACTTAATGTCTATGTGACA